ATAATTAATAATCATGTATTTTACAGACATTTCGTAAAGAAGGAGGGGCGAATTTCCAAGTCACGTAAATGTCAGGTGGTTAGTTAGACTGTAGGGATATACATTAGACATTTAGTATAGAAGCGTCATGTATCAGTTGTATCACGGGCTAAGTCCCGATCTTGTATTTATTTTTGCATGTATGTATATTAATAAAAATTTTTCTTGGCAAATTTCGCTGACCTCGGGTCAGGAAAATCACATGATATTTTTTATTTTGAATGCTTATATACAGTCTATTAGTTTTATATATTATAGATCATGTCATCCGAGCTTGAAGTATTGAAACAGCGTATCATAGAACTTGAGGCTGAGAATGCCGAAATACCTGATCTTAGAAGAAAGATCTCAGAGTTCGATGCTGAGAGAGTTGATCTTAGAAGAAAGCTCTCAGTGTCTGATGCTGAAATAGCTGAACTTAAGCGCAGTAATAACGAGTTTCTAAGAGCGAATAAGGAATATAACGAGAGGCGTGATGCTGAAAATGCCAAACTCAGGGCCACAATCGAGGAGTTGAAATCTGAGAATATTGAAGTTAGAGATAGACTCACGAAAGTGGAACAGAGGCAGGTGCTAAATGATAATTCTTCTAATGATAATACCCCTAACATTAACTCATCTAACTTCAATTCGGGTGCGGTCCATCATGAAAAACCGTTAGAGGAGAAAGAGATGGATAGTTTCTTGCTTGAGGCTCATAAGAAAATCGTTAGTAGTGAAATAAAGCAACGCAATAAGGAAAAGAAACTTAGCAAAGCAGAGCAAGCATCTCTTAACCAAGATCAAGAATCTGACACCGGGTGCTCCACTTCTGAAAAGATACTGGAGGTATTTAATCCCGTGACTAAAATTTCAGCCGGGGCCCCCGGCCAAAATAGCCATAGGAAGAAAGGTGCAGAAAATATCGTACAATTGATAGCTGATGGTATTAAGGATGATGCCCAATCGAGTGATAAAGCCATTCCTTGCGATGTGATTTCAATTGAGAGTCTCAACCAAAATTCATCTACAGATTCATTGCTTTCTCTAGCACAATTATTCGATAAAGCGGATGATGCTGAATATGGCGCAATTCGTGCTAATCAGGAAGAGATTTTGCGCTGGTATTATTATGGAAAGGAATTTTTAACTCAGGTTAGTGTGATTGTACAAGATGGAAAAGGCAAAATAGGTGAAAAAAAGGCAAAGGGAATAATCTATGATAAAATGTTGGAACACCTATCCATGTTGCGAAAGCAACGATCTGAAGAGACAGGATTGCGCCTCCCAGAAATCTCCCGTAAAAACTTACAAAGGAAAACTCAGAAAGCTGTAAAGATATATATAATATTTGAAAAGGTAGGCGTAGAGAATATTAAGTATATTACGACATATAGTGCGAACTCTATTTCTGAGTTGACTAATGATAAAGTTCAAGATATCATAGATAATTTCTCCGAGCATAATGATAACGATAACGATAACACCGATGTGGAAGAAGTACCCATGGGGATTTCAGCCGGGGGCCCCGGCCAAAATTCAGCTGAGGTAAGTGAATTAATCGCACCTATTCCTGTTACACATGGCTCTAATTCTTTAGGTAATTCATCATTCACGCCACAAATTGCTCCAGCCGAGGCAGAGAATCTTGTCGACTATGATGAGGTATATTATGATGATGATACGTATTTTGATGATCCCATGCCTTCGTCAATGGAGAAAGGAATTAATGAAGTTCAGACAGACGATGATAGTAATTGTAGCCACGACAATGATTCCGAAGAAGAGGTGCCAGATGAATCGGATGATGACGGATATAATAGATATGATGGATACGATGAATGGGGTAATTGTGACAGAGGCTATTATTATCGTGACAGAAGACGTGAAAGGAAAACCTCTCCAATGATGAGTCCTATTATTTCACCGGTAACTGCCTAGGAGAATTATTGGGCGAATTAATTACTCGCATTGACTGAATTATCGTATATTTCTTTTTTTCCGAATCACGTGGGTGGCTTAGATATCATGTAAACGTCATCCCTATATTCCTCCGCAGTAAGACGTCACCGGCATCCGCAGTCGTAAAGGCGCTAAGACAGAGGATCTATTAATAACCCCGGCTATAAGAGCAATATTTTTGCGTTACTATACTTATGAACTTTCCCCAATGTTCTGGTATGTTCTATCTCACTCATTACGCAGTTCTGAATTACTAATAAAAAAACACATCCCTGATTTACATTTTGCGGATCGTAAGACAGGGCGTCGTTAAAAAGAAATTCAAAATGGAAATAGAGTCGATTAGAATCTATGATTTACAGATCCTCGGATAAACGGTAAATTTTTATTATCCTACTGACGTTAGTGCATTCAAATTACGTGTATATGCTAATCACATATTAATCCGTTTTTGAATAGGAATTAGTGGTAACATGTGCGGTTCGTCATCTACAGATCTCGAACAAATATTCCGATTTTTTTTGATTACAATTGAAATAGGGATAGGTTAATAATACATAACGAACTTCCTATTTGGGAGGGGCTGTGAACTCAAACAAAAATACACCACATGCGATCTTCTGTTTTGCAAGAGATCTTAGAAGTAAACGGAAAATTTTGAGACACGGTATTGCTCCATTAGTGTTACATTAAGTTGACATAGAACCGTAATTCGTCGGATTTACTTTTAAGCCGTATTGTTAAATGCGCCTCAAATTCAGGGAGGAACATTTGTTATTATTAGACAGGATCCAGGCCGTTATAATTGCTTTAGCTGAAAAAATATAATTATGAAAAATATAGTTATGACAAATACACGTAATTTTTATTAAATCGGGTTAAATTCTCTTTTCACGCGTAGTAAGCATACAGTATAAAATAAACCTTTCTCCCAGCGCATTTACGCAAGATAACTATTGCTATTAAAAAAATCAAGCGATATTATCTAAAAAACTTGATCCACCAATAAAATCTCAATAAAATTACTACGCCTAATCATGTTTAGTTTGTCATTGCTCAACTCTTCGGAAGCCATGTCATTTTTGGCCTTAACCGTCATTTTTTTGTTCATTAGTCCAGCGATATTCGTAGGAATCGTCACCATGTATGGAAATCTAAAACAAAAGATCTCTAATGAACTTTCCGCACATGTCATCAAAATTCTCATCGATCTTGGTATACTAAATAATATACCGGGAAAGAGGTCACTTCATGACCAGATCTCTACTGAACTTAATGATAAATTTGACACATGTATTTCCGATATTAATTCTATTTTCACTGAGAAGCTCGACAGAATCAATAATGATCTTAATAATAAACTTACCGCGGAAAACAAGGCACGTGATGATGACTTCACTAAGGAGACACAGAAAATCTTTTCAATGATCAGTACTGTTACTGAAAGGCTTGATAGGATCGAAGAAGCCTGTCATAATGATTTTGGAAACATTTCGTCCGAATTTACATCAATCAAAGCTTCTATTGAAATTCTTCAAAATGATTTGGCCCAACGTTATGCGGTTGTCCAAAGAGCCAATTTCGATCAACAAAGCGTGTTCAATGAATCTGAAACTAATGAATCTGAATTGGGAAGTTCGCTAAACTCTGCCTCAGCTTCAACTAGTTCAAGCTCTTCATCTGAAGGTTCCAATTTATCTGGAATTTTTGATATTACTGGAGATATTAGAATCCGCTTTAAACAACACTTTGATCGACTTATGAAGGCGAGGAATTATACTTCTGATGAGATGTTTATCTCGGTAGCGGTAGATATTCGTGGTCTTGGAGGGAATATTAAAATCTCAACAGTGAAAAATTTTTATAGTGGTGTTGGTCGTAGTACAGTTAGTACTGTTAATCAGATAAACGCATGGGTAGCTAGTTTTAATAATAATGCGGAGTAGCGGGGAAGGAACTGCCAATATATGGGTTAGGGCCTGGCAGGCATTTATGCTTTATTTCTCCCTTGAAACAACCTGCTACTCTATTGTTTTTTTATTTTCATTTTTTACTTAGCCGGCCGGCCCTTTCTCATGTATTACTTTGCAATAAAGAATGTTTTGAATGATTTTTAAAATCTTGCAGTTAGTTATATTGGTAGAAACAAATTAGTTATAGATACTTTTCGTAAATGTAAGAGAGCAAAGAAATAACTTGATGCTGGGACTCGCACTAAATGGCCTATGATCCGCGTACTCCCTCCCTCTTTGATAGCATCATACATTTCGCTTACTACCTCCACTTTTTTATAAAGGAATCGAAAAATAAATCATTGTTTATGTAGTTCTTTCATATGTAAATATGTATATCTTTGAACTCCGAAATATAACATCAGTAAAATCAAATGATGCATAAAAAAAGTATACAAAATCAATTAATCAAATGATGTCATCCTCATAAGATATATAATAATTAGTATTCAAAAAAAATGTTTCTTAAACTTCTTTCTTAAAATTTTAATCAATGTCTTCTTCTTTCATTGATAAAGAAAGTTTTACCGATATCATATCTATCCTTCTCGTGATTTTTATCGCGTTCGTGGTCTGTGTGATTATTAAGATATCTGAATTTACTATTTGGATTATTACTTATCTAAGGCTTTCTTTTTGTCGCTTTTAGTTCTTTCCTATTACTTTCGTTCTTCTTTTGATCGCTATTACGTCATACATTGGATATAATATTAGTAAGGGGATTACTTATATCTTCAACAGAAGTAAGTCATTGGCTTGTTCACTTGTGTAACGTAAAGTCGTTAAAAACGGATTTCTCGTATTAAAAAATTTCATACTCTATTCCAATAACCATGGCGAACATGTCTAAAGTTTACTGCGAGAAAATAGATCTCAAAAATCTAGACCTTAAGAAGGTTTATACCTTCGAAGAGTTCGAGTACATAAACGACCAACTTAAGACTCGCACTATACAACTTAACGGAAAACCAGTTAACCTCTTCGAATACAAAAACGGAAAGTTAATCCCAATGCCTCAGACTCCATACGCAAGAGAAAAGGTTGTTGCCGAGATTGTATGACAGTTTTGCAACTGGAACTTCGAAACCCATCAAAATGGAGGCGTTACCTCTTCGCAAGGTGGCTTTGATTTTAATGTCGGGGGACAGAGAACAATTCGAGCACCCGACGTTTCTTTCACTCCAAAACAAACAGACCGCGGTTTGAACGCACTACAAAATTGGACCTTCCAAGGTCAACCCTTCACCCCAATATTTGTTGTTGAGGTTGATTTTATTGAAAGTGAAGCACAATTCCAAGTATTTGACGATAGATTCAGAAATGAAATTTTTGCACAGGGAACATCTGTGGAGTTAGGATTTCTAGTTAGCATCGGCCAAGATAATAACGGCCAACTGGCGGGAACTATCCATTCGTGGAGATGGTACGAAAATAGTAATGCTGTACGTCATTATGAACATGGATGGCGAAATATGGATACCAGGGTCGGCGGTCGAGAAATTCTTCCAGGCTTCGAATTGAATGTTAGGATGATTGAAGAATCTATTTCGCAAGTATGTTGTGATGATTTACCATTGATTATTTTATTTTAATCTTATCACTTATTTATTTCATGAAATGATTACAGCAAGATTCAGGTTCATCATCGTCGGATGATGATAATACTAGCTTTTCTTGTCCTAAATGTACGAAAACCTTTACTAATAATCACAGATTTATGAAGCATTTTCAAATGGAACATGCACTTAAACGACGTACATGACGTACACAACAGATCTTAATGTTGCTAATTTTTTATGTGCAGTAATTTGATTATGTAATATTCATCTTGTAGAAATTTCGCATCATCTAACAACAATGCCATTTCTATTTTTCCATGTAATAAAAATAATAATGCATTATATTATTGCCCACTGATTTTTATTTTTCCGTAATGTGACTTATAATGCATATATACTGTATATTCGAATTTTTCCTTCTTTGCAATATACTGTATTAAATGCAGATCAATCAGTTAAGATCATATATATAGTACACACAAATTCAACTACTGCGCCCAGCGGTCAGATTTTTCATTTTGGTGTATTAAAGTATAAATAATAAAAAAAGGTTTGACCAGTGCCAGGGGAGCTAGGGTGATACCTGTGATACGATATACGTCATGCCATAAATCGCAATACCGCATGTAAATATAGCCACTATATAAATCCCCGATATGCTTGTAATCGAATAAAAATGAATATGATATTTTATTATAATATACTTGCTATAAATTGCTATAAGTCTTTAAAACCGCTATAAATTATCAAATTCACTATAAATTGCTACAAAGTCCCTATATCCGTAAAATGGTTAAAACTAACTATTCTGGTTTAAATCCTGTAGTAGTGCAGGCGTTAAACAATCTGCAATATAGATATAATGGTGAAACACCAGAAATGTGGTGTTCTCGTGTTTGTTATCCATTTAAGAAACTTCTTGAATATAACCCAAAATACTTTTCGAAGAATGGGTTTATCCAGATGATTGAAAGATCATATATAGATGGGGAATTTAAAACTGGGAGACGCTCATTTCATATTTATTGCACTGTATGTGACTCCTTAGTAATTATCCGTGAAAATACCATTGAATGTGCAAATATTCACCTAAATGAGTGTATTGCTAAAACAGTCAAAAGGCGGATTGAATATTCTAAACCTGTACAGAAAAATGTGAAAAAAAGAGGAGTGCCAAGCCGAAATAGTGTATTATCGCTTAGTTCTGACGAGATAGATGAGATTTATCGAACATATTGTTTTACATTAAGTAATTACTGGACTAAATATAGTTATCATTATTTACCTGAAGATAGGAAAAGGGTTGTAAATCATTTAATTGAAAGTGCAAAAGTTGTCCAACTGGCTTGGAGGACTTTCAAGTTGAGACCTGAAACATGGGCGAAACAAGTTTGGAATATGGTAAGAAATGATGGTTCTCCTGACAAGAAGAAGTTTCTAGGTATAACTCCTTGCAAAATAAGAGTTCCTGATGATCGATATATAGACTATATATGGGATCCCAGTTATCTTCTGGCAGGAATTAATTATGGAGATAGAATTCAAGCTAAAGATATGCCTGCATATTATCAGAATCTTCCTATATTATATGATCATTATTCTTCACAAAGCTGGGTAGAAAAGAAGAGAGAACAGTTATGGGAACGATTAAATAATGTAGCATACATAGTTGCTTTTATAGAATTACATCGGCAAGGCTATAGAATTGTTGAATATTCAGGATGGAACTATATGTTAAAGTGGCTATCAAATCCTGAATATTATCGTATTGATAAATATCTCAACAATGGCAATGAAAACTTTGTTAGAAGTTCAGAATATGTACAATATAAGTGTAAATTGGCAGGCAAACATTATCAATATAATTTACTAGATATTGGCTATTATAAAACTGGAAATATTAGTATTAATGGAGAGACTACTACTATAAATTTCTCAGATTTACATAATAATTGTGAGTATGTGCGCCGAATTTTCCGGAGCATAGATTCTTTATTAAAATAGTGTAATATATTTCATGTATAATTATTAGCCAAGCCCTTATGGCGCTTTGCAATATCTTTCAACCAAATATTAGTATTATGTATCTCTTGACTATGTTGAGGTCAAACATAGCTTATACTTTATTTTTTTGCACTATATAATCTGCATGCATGATCGCCTAGTATATATAATTGTGAAATGTACTACCTGCCAAATTTTTCAGATTAGTCCTTAACCCAGATCCTGGTTAAGATCATGCGCTTTCTGAAGATTGATATAAATTGATCCAAGGGGTTCTCCCATTCTCTTTTATAATCACAAAAAAAGAATGTCATTTCACAGATCTCATCCAAGGCAGAGAAGAACATGTGAAGAATATAAAGCTGAGCTGGAAGAAGAGAACTATCATCTTCATAGTGAATTGCAGATAGAAGTTGATACTAATCGCCAGAATGAGAGACGAATTAATCAACTGGAACGGGATTATACCCGATGTGAGCAAGAAATTCAAGATCTCAATAAGGAGATAGAGCGTCTTGAAAATGCTTCGAAAGAAGAGATAGTAGAGTTAAAATCTGAAATCTCCAGCCTAAAAAAGCAACTATATCAAGCTAAGAAGGATATTTGTAATAATGAAAAACATATTTCTAGTATAGAAAATCAGTTAGTAGATTCTGAGGAACAGGTAGAGAAATTGCGATGTCGGATCAGAACCATCTCATCACGAAAAAATTCGCCAGAACGAGGAATTCTCCAGACTTGTATAATCCTAATATTAACTTAGAAATGGCTACCATCACAAAGCTAGCAAATGCTATAGATGGTTATCTGAATAATATAACAATAGGTAGAGAAATCTTAGCTGATCAAATAAAAAGGGCGACAAGGCAGATTCGCCGAAAAGAGAATAATTTGCATCAGGATTTAGTCCGTGAGCAACGAAGGCGATATGATGCAGAGGCTGAGCGTGATAATGAAATTATACGAAGGCAAAATGCTGAAGGAGTGGAACAAATGGTTATTGCTGACCTTTATCAGTTGCGGACCAATGCTCGAAATCAAGTAAATAGAATGTTAGACAATATAACAGGAAAGCGAACCTGTATTGGTATATTACTACAGGAAAAATTTGCCTTACAATTGCTGTATCAGCGAAATACCCATCACTTACAGCAAAGTAGAGGGGATATAGGTCTGTTAGAATTTAATCGTGACAGGCTCTATGAGCGATATGAGAAATGGAAAAATAAGACTCAAGCAGAGCGCCAGAATAATTTAAATTTGCAGGGACAAATTTTAGCGTTACAGAATAATCCACCAAATCAAATAAACATGGCAGGAATCCCACAACCATTTTTTGACTGGGATGATAGTATTCCAGATTTTCTAGCGAAACTAAGATTACATCTGCAAAACCAAGGGGTAGATCCAGCAGATAATGCAGGAGGTCCACCCTAAGGTTGCTTGTCTAAACCTCTTCAAAATCCTACGATTAGTTTCGTCAAAATTTTACTATAGATTTATTATAGTTTCGGCAGAGTTTCGGCAGTTTTGGCATTTATAATAAGTTTCAGCAGTTTCGCCTTTCTC